CATCGAATTTGTATAAAGTACAAGAAGTCGAAGTCAACTCTTCCAGTCCACGGCGCATCGCGTCTTCTGCCGGTTGCAATGCGTCTCGATCAATTCAGCAAACTCGATTCATTTACGTAAATTCCAAGTGAGCAGTCAGCTTTATTATATCCAAGTGTCACAAGACGAACAAAACGTAAAGTGAAATTCTGATTCCGCCTAAGTAAATTACCCAGTTCGCGCATTAATCAGCTCATCTATCCAAAGCAAAATGACACAATCCTAAGAAAGGGGTCACGTTCGACTTCGGTCATGATAAATACACTCTTACTTAAGGTCGACTGCTGTAATTGAATGCTCCATGAACAGTTTCCGTATTACTTTAACATCCGCGATATAACACCTGTTTAACTTGTATTCCTGTGTGACACATTAAACGCAGACACTGAGACATTAAAAACTCCACTAACTTCTTCTACCTGGGAGTAAAACTTGGTCTCCAGCGCTAAAGCGAGAACAATGAGAATATCAGTGCCTGAGAAGAATTACGTGGTAGGAGACTGGAGAAAACTGCGTAATGAGAATCTGCAGAAATTATACTCTTCACAAAATACAATTAGGATAAGCACAATTTATCCAGCCTCCTTCTGTCGACGTTTCGCTCTCTCTCGCTTCTTATCGGCCAACACCAGATTCTTTCAAGATGTTGACACTGGTTCGAAAAAGCTGTTTTACCAATCTGCCAGCATCTACGTCTATCGCCAAATCATTATACATTCGTTTTCTCCCTCTCTGGAACAAAACTGTCCCAATGTCTGGATTCATTCGTCCTCGTTTCTATGAGAGGCCTTTCCATTCCGGCAATACGAGGTGCGATCAGAAAGTTTCCAGACTGCGCGTATAAAAACCCGTACACTTATCTCAGGTATTAAATTCATCCATCACCCTCGAGGTAGTTCCCCTGGGAGTGAACACAACGATCCCAGCGCCGCTGCCAAGCCTGGAAGCATCCCTGGAAATCTTTCTTTGTCAGCCTGTCAAGCACCATCTGCGATTCTGCCTGAATCTCTTCTATCGTCTCAAATCTCCTTCCCTTGAATTTTCATCTTTCGGAAGAGGAAGAAGTCACACGGAGCTAAATCCGACGAATAAGGAGGGTGCGGGATGACGACCATGGTGTTTGAGGCCAAAAACTGCCGAACTTTGAGGGCGGTGTGCGCTGGCGCGTTGTCATGATGCGTCGCATGGGGAGTTCTTCGTTTAGAATCAGCTGACAGGTCCCATAGCCTACCCCAACAATGTCGCACAAGTCGTTGATGGTACGACGTCGATCTTCGTAACATTTTCGGGCGTTGTGCTCGAAGATGGTCGTCCAGAACGCTCGTCATCATCGACAGAGGTTCGGCCATTTTTAAAACGTGAATGCCACACAAAAGTTGGTGCACGACCCATTGCGGACTCCCCAAATGCTTGCTTTAGCATTTCATAGGTTTCCGTAGCCGTTTTGGCAAGTCTTTGGCAATAGGCCGCACCCACTAGCGGCAGAAGCTCGTACTACATCCGGTTCGCCCTCTTTTGACACAGTCTTGGAACTTTCCGATCGCACCTCGTACATCTTCCAGACGTGTAATTCCTGCCTTCAGCAGTTGCCATTAATGCAGACAAACAGGCAGGCACCAAAATGGACTTCTCTCATCTCGTTAACAATTCGCTGGGTCTTCATATCAGATTACAGGGACAACGTTGCCCAGTACTTGATAAACTACAGATAACAGCCTAACAAAGCGTCAACCCATCGATTTACTTCATGTTCGCTCTGCCTTCTGCCTGTTTCAGCCAATTCAATTCTCCTCGTCAAAACAGCGCAACTCTTCGACCCAGCGAATTGGCTGTTACTTACACGCTCATCAATAGCTAAACGAAAACTGCAAGATCATAAAATTTCATGCGTCGATCTCTCTCCAACGCCCGCGTCCTTCAGAAAAACCAAAAATAACTTCAAAACCTTACAATAAATACATTCATAACTTCCCATCACCGACATGTTGGTATTATCAATGGAAGGAAGTTAAAAGAACAACTGAAGAATGCTGTTCATTCCAAGTTTCTTTAAAATCCATCCACAGTCACAAAGACTACAGACGAACGAACAAGACTGCCCTAAAATAAGGAGGGTTTGCGGCTAAAAATTGTCGTAACAGAACCGTCAATTAGTAATGCGATAAAGCTTTGATGTGACAGCTAGGTCCCTAACTTACTTTTAACATGCAGTGCGAAATTTATCTGTGTTGCATAACAGCAAGTCTTTCCGTGCTTGTTCGAGGCCACAGAGATGTTAAAATGGTTGCGGAACTCGGGCGAAAAGTTGATGTATAGGACGGCTTAAAGTTTTAATTGTTTTTCTCCTGTAACGGCGTGTTCTGGGACACACTTCTTACCCACAAAACAGAGATGCCATAGCAAGATATAGTTAGAAGTGCTGTGAAGACAGATGTAGAAGGGATGTGCGATTTAGACACGAAAAGAATCAATTGAATAAAAATTTTCTTGGATATTATCCATCGTCTAGTAAATATAAAACGTAAAACGACGTTTCGGAGATGGGACTTTCACTTTTTACTTTGTCCGGAGATAGGTATTAGCTCTATCTAGTGGGCCCAACTGTGTAGGAACCTGAAGACGGAGATAGAGTCCCATCTCCGAAACGTCGTTTTACGTTTTATATTTACTAGACGATGGATAATATCCAAGGAAAAAGTCCGGAGATAGGGATTAGCTCTATCTAGTGGGCCCAACTGTGTAGGAACCTGAAGACGGAGATAGAGTCCCATCTCCGAAACGTCGTTTTACGTTTTATATTTACTAGACGATGGATAATATCCAAGAAAATTTTTATTCAATTGACTCTTCACCATCGTCAAGAAGTTTTAGATCTGATATACGAAAAGAATCATTCCCCGTCGAATTTCATGTGAAAGACCCATTTTACAAATTACACGTGCATATTATTAACAAATGTGATTGTTAAATATTACATCTGCCATATAACTCGGTGAGTGTTCGGCTGGACACTGCAGTCCACCGCACAATGAAACAAGCCGATGCCAAGATAAACGGGTATAAGTCACAAAAGTTCAGGGCCCGTCAAACAGTCTTCGGAAAGTTGTAACCAATCAAGTTTAATTATTTTTCCGAACATTTACGGAAATGTAATCGTTCAATTGACACACGAACTTCTGGCTGAAGTGAGAGTTTTGATACATTAGGGTACATGTACATTTAAACACGTGTAGAGAAGCAGCAACTGCACTTCGGTTGCAGTTTCTGGACTTACAACCCTTTGCCTTGGCACAATCACTGCTCTAACATCTCGTGGCAACTTGCGTGATAGCAGAACATACGTCAGCGAAGCATCAACACGACTGAAAACTAGAAGGGCGCTTTGTGGAAAATGTTTGGCGCACAAAAGAATCGCCGTACATGTGACGACCGAGTCCGTAAAGTCATGTCCACGGAAGGCCACGCCGTTAGCGCGAGTAACACGAGAATATGGACAGCCACGAGTAACGCCTCCCGAACTGTTTTCGTCGGTTTCTCCAGGCAAATGTCGTGGCAATGCCTTAAATTAGGCGACGACCGCTTCCTTGTATATCCGTTCCAATTTATTATTCATTATTCATGCTGTTACTGGACAGCGTTCTTAAATAAACCACAAATAAACACCTTCGTCACTCAAATGATGAGTAACGTAAACATTTCAATTGTACGAGTGTCAGAGGAGGACTGACACGCAGAAAGAATATCAAATACAACAACCTGTCAAGTAACAACTTCCTGGACGCGTATTCAAATTTATATGCACAGCTCCTGACTTTTTTTTGCCCCGGAAGTAGGCCAGAAGCCCCACTACGCGAGTCCCTAGCACGCACGGTGCATTCATCAGGGCAACACGACACGTGACGTCAGGATCTTACCTCCCTCCCTCGCTATGGGAATTATTCAAACTTTGTTCGTTCTTCTTAAGGACTAGTTCCAGATTATCTCCACAGTTTTACAAAACGAAGCATTCACTCGTTCAGAGTCAGACGTGTGGCGAGAAGTCTCTGGAGCCCGCTCAGCTCCGATAGCTCATGTCGTAAAGTGATTGGCTACACGCCGGTCGACAAGGATTCGATACCGGATACGAGCAGGCACTTCTCCCCCCCTCGCCCCGATATCCAGAATAGCTCAGTCTGTGATCCATTTGTGAGATACACGACCTTACCTTCATTATACAGGATGTTCCGAAACTGACGTTAAACAATTCAGAGGTCGTTTTCCTTGACTAAAAATAAGACGACCCCCCCCCCTTCGACGCTAATGCTTCGAGTAATACGTTTCTGGCCTGAGAAACGTGGCAACACCGCGCTTTTAGTGACAGTACACGAACCCGGACTTTCAGTACCAGAGATGTCGGCGTGAGTTTGTGATCATCCTGCATACGTAAATTAATTAAAATCATTCCCAAAAGCTTGAAACATAAAAATTTATAGAATACACTACACAGATTCTTCACCTGGCAAGGTTCGAAATAGAGACATTCAATTGATATGAGTGTAAACATAAATCCAAAGTAAAACTTGGAACCCACTTCTTGATTGTAGACCAGAGACAGAAGTTTTAAGATGTTTCGACCAATCAGGAGAAACGTAAAATGTTCATGTCCCAAGAAATATTCACGAATATCGGGCAAAGGAAAGAGAAACATGGGGCGTCAACGGAAGACCTGTTTTAACATTTCCAGATGTTACATATTTTAAAATAATACAAGTATTAAACACCTACCACAGTTACATACTGAAGACTCTTCAGGCCAACTCCTAATAATCACACTGGCAGCCTAATCCAGCTCAGCGGCGCTTTGTAATGCACAGTCTACTCACCGATTTGTAGACTGAGGCAGAAGACAGCAGAAGACGCCATCGAATGTGCACGCACCACAGAGAAAGTTAAGTTGCAGCGTTCCTCAAGCCGCAACTTTCGTTCCTTCCTTCGGCCACCCGGAATGGCCCCCTGCGAACGCAAGTGCACGGCATTTAGACATCTGCTCGTTGCTCACTCATCCAACTTCTTGTTTAGTCCCCTCAGGGACAGCGTCAAGAATTTGGTGTGCTGAGCGCCAAGTTTGCACCTTAAAAAATGTCGATATTCCTCGACATTCGCTACAATTTAACACGGTTGTTACATCACACTAACACGCGAGATGCGAAGGAAAGATTGAAAAGGAAAAAATGCTCGCAGCCATAGACAATTTATGAAAACTTCGAGATAACACACAATTCGTACGTGTGAGTTGAAAACAGAATTTAAATTGGTTGCTCCGGCAAGGTGAAAACAGTGATATTTTAAGACACAGTTCTAAAGCAAGAAAGAACGGTATAATTTACAACTGCATCAGTACGCGTATTTGAGAAAGGAATTCTGAGACGCAGATCATAATCGTTTCGCCAAAAGCAATTTGCAGTATTACTGAAATACAGAGCAACAGAAAAGAAAACAGAGTTTCTTTTCCACCACAATTTCATCTGTGTTGCTTCCAGTCCTCTCCTTTAAAGCCACTAACAATCTCGACGAGTGGCAGTTTCACATTCTGACCAATTTATTGACCTGAACATCAATCAACCACCAACACATTTCCAGGCACACCAAACTCTGACTGATGCGCTAAAAATATACCACCGCCCACGTTCTCAACCTCTTCTTAAGACGAAAATAAACGAGAAGAATGAAAGAGACGTCTCATATGCTTTGAGGTTTATGATAAGAGGTCGCTATAAAACGTGAAGAGGCTGACACAGGCACGTACGAAATCTGGTCTCTTGGGACTATCTTCCTTCAGAGCCCCCGAAAACAGATTCCAAAGGTGCACCCCAGTTTTAAAAGCGTCCTTTCGCAGATGTTAACGTAGACGGCTCAACACCGCTAACACCAAAGCAAATTCCGCCTCCAACCAAATCGCACGAAGTTTCGCGCTAAGATCCATCTTAATATTATCCTATCCGCCGTGTGGTCATGTTCCTTCAAAAGTACACACGGGGAGGATGTAGAAGGAAGTGACATTTGCCTATGTGAAGTTACTATTTCAGCACATTCTTGACGGACTGCAGAAATCTACGAAAATGGCCTGTCAGAATATACGGCGTCCGGGCCGAGGATCGAAGCAGGGACCCACACCCGACCGCGAGGCACATTTTCATTCGACTCCTTCAAACACCGTCCTTCTCATTCCTATCTTTTGGTCAAGTGCTTTCCTCTTGCCTACACACGACAGACTTTTATCTTAACATAAAGATTACAACTTCACGAAACTTTTATCTGTCATCTCAGAAGCCATTTGTGTTACTATATTAAAGTACATATATCACATATAGAAACTGATTACTATAACGGAGCTTTTATTTAAATTCTCGTTCTGCTGGATTTGGCACTCCGATCTCCCAACTAAGAATTAATTTTAAGACAATAAATCTTCTCGACAATCGATGAGATTCCTTAAACGGAAAATCGCTAATTACCGTCATAAAAAAACGCCAATGGACCACATCCTAAGTTCGTTTCCCAATCAAAGTTCTGAATATGTTTTACTGCCCTTTTAGCATAAAGAAATCGACTGAGATATTCAGCATTTCTGTGTGTGTTTCGTGTTTCCCTCATGCATCCCACACGCCCTGGCTACGATCACACAAACTACGAGCAGACCAAATTCGGGAACGTGTGCCACCCGAGAAGATTGGTGGGGCATGTAGTGGCCACGGGGAGATGAGAAATGAGTACAACATTTCGGTTGGAAAAGACCAAGGAGCACATTGGACGATAATATTAAAACTGATCTCAAGAAAATTTGGGAAAGTGTGGACTTGATTCATGTGATCAATGTACTACAATAGGTCCAGGAGTTGAGAAATGCTGAATGAACCTACATTTAACACTTTCGGACTGCACGCCGTGTGATGGATGACACGGAAGGAACAGCTGAAGTAGCAATTTCAAAACTCTAAACAAATCACACTGGCGTTTCTCGAGTTTCCACCAGGCTCCGAGTATCTGTCTCCAGTCACGATATTTCTTCTCTCTCCTTATCTTCGCAAGTTCTTCTCTCGTCTCCTATGTACCACCACCTCATTCCTCTGTCTCGCTCCAATTTACCAATATTCCAGATATTTCATTCCGAGCATCGCCACCGAATCCAAGAGTTCCACATTTCTTTTTCTCCATTCTGGTTCATTGTCTTCCTCCTTCCAGCCTTACCCTGGAATGACGTATACACAACTTCCTTTTTACTCTACATGGGCGTAATGGTGTGAGCGCCATGGAGTCACTACAAAGGACACTTCACTTCGGAAGACAAGACAGTGTCCTTTTCACGCATTGGCTCCATAATTCCCAACCACCAAGCACAGCACAAGAAAAGGTTGTATACAATGATCGGACAAGAAACAAAAGTATAAAAGAAAATTGGCATCTTCTGGGGGGCAATAAGCTCCTTCCAAACCTTCGTATCCACCTCCAAGTCCACACAGCGTTACAGCCCAGAAGACCAAAAAGGGAAAGTTATTAAACGATAAAATGATATCTTGGTTCCGTGGCGCAGAATACGTAATACAATTCCGTATCTAAGAGATTAAATAATGTTTTTTTTTAAAAAAAAATTACACTGCGTAGTACCTGCCTCGAAGAGCTGATAACAGCTAATCCGGTCAAGAAATTACCATTTTTATCTAAGTCGAAGAGTCCATTATCTCGTCTTCAAAAAAAACCCGTCATGACTCCACATTCCGAACCAGTTTAATACAGTCCTACACCATCATGTCGTATTCCTTTAAGATTCGTTTTAATATTATCCTCAAATGGTCCCTTCACTTCAGGCTTTTAAACTCTATATGCATTTCTCAACCGCCACGGTGGTCTAGCGGTTAGAACGCTGGCCTTGTAATCCTGGGGGTCTCGGGTTCGATTCCCGGCGGTGCCCGAATTTATAACTTGTGTTGGGCAAGGCCGTGGTCTAGGCAACACGGAGTTTTCCTCCGTGGCATCCCAACAATTACTCAATTCACACACAGAAGAAGGCAATGGCAAACCACTGCTGGATCATCTGCCATTTCTCATGTAAACCACGCGTGCTAGAATCCTACCAATCTCGCCCTCTTTTACTAGGTACAAATTAGCCCACG